GGTTAGACTATAATATTACAACAATACTTTTAATCTGTATAAGTTTGTTATTTGACTGGGTATGGTAATAGAGTGAAAACGTTTATGATAAGTTTTTAAATTTAAACTTTAAACGTTATACAAAATGAAAAAGCTTATAATATGTATTTAAAACTTATAATATTGAAATCTTTGCTTGTACGGAACTAGAGAAACAGTACAACAGTCGCAGCCACGCGTATAAATATTTGAAGTATTGTATAAAGATTATTATTTTTTAATACATTATGATAATGATTTTCAAAGAAATATTCTCATATTATTCTCATATTTTGTTGTTAGACATTAACTCTGCTTATGTACCAAGTTTATTATTATTATATTTTAATAAATAAACAATCCGATAACGGTGGTGTTATGTATATTATTTACGAATCAATAACTGAACTGTATATTGTAATCATACATTTTAATTAATAATATATTTGTTTGTGGTACAATGAATATATTCAATCCGAACCACTATTTTAGTTTTGTTTTTATATATCAACGAAACTTTCTCGTTCAATACACATTTATCTAGTACATAGTAATTACTAATTARACCGCAATTCATTTGTGTTGTTACAATAATATGATTAACTATGTTTTGGTTGTCCAGTGAAGTGTTCAAAATGAATACATCCGTTCCGTTGTATAGTCACTAAAATCAATTTAAATTCAAAAATAAGTTGTTTTTTTTTGTATTTCTGTATAATATTTTAATATTATTTTGCAATTATAGAAATTAGTCAGTTATTTATACTTTTCGATTTATAAATTTAATATCTTAATTCTAACTCGATATTTATAAGCTATTAGTCAGCTATTTTACATTTTTACTTATGTATTCAACTTATTCTTGTGGGTAAAGTGAAAAAAAAGAAAAGGTTTCTATARTACTGAATCACAAAACACGCATGTTTAAAATTCATTATAACTCACTAGAGTCGTATGATTCGTATGTATAATTTTGTCATTAAAAGTAAAATGGTTAATAAACTTTGACTATCTAGAAATCCTCAGAAAAATAATGACTTTACTAATATTGTATATACAACAATACTTTAAATAGCTGTACTGACTTTTGTTTATGATAAAATTAACTTTAATATTATACTAATAAGTTATAATTGTTCTGGTTTCAGATTCGAGAATAACAAATAAGAATGTAGAAAACGGTACGTAAATAAAATCAATTATTATTGTTAAATTAAAATTCCGTATTCACGTACCTACTACTGATTACGTATAGTATTAAAAAAAAATTCTATTTATACAATTTAAATGAAAGGTTTATATTTATACCGAAAATCTGAAGTTAACTAGAAAGAATTTGCGACGTTTKCTTAAAAAAAAATATAGCAATACATCAACGAAAAGTAATTTTAAGTATCAAAACACGGTATTATATATTAATGGTATTTCCAGATAAATTTTCCGTACGTAATTTAAAAATCACAGCTTTACAGTCTCATTGAAAGGTCTAATTTGATTTATATTATCAAAAAGTATCAACAAGACACGCAAAGGGATCTTTTTTTACAATTTGATCCTTTTTTTCATTAAATTTTTAATTCTAAATATCCTACACATTTTTTTTTCTAAAGTAATTTTCATTTTCATTTACTTAATAGCAATGTATACAATTACCTACACGATAACGTTAAAACTTGATCTAGACGTAAGTTTATTTTTATTGAGAAAAAAATAAAAATAATCTTTTGCTATAAATAATTTTAACTTGTTTATCAAATTATAGTTTGTAATAAAATCACGTGATTTACCTACCTAAAACTAATAAACATTAAACAATKTTATTGGCTACAAAGTATGAATAATCTTTAAGTCTTGAATTATGTTTTGTTCTCGTATAATCCTTTGGACCGAATTTAATATGCTATAAAAACGTGTTGAGCAGAAAAATATACTTGAATAAAATAGAACTAAAGTTTAGTATAGGTACATATAGTTCAGCATAATATATTCGTGTATATAAAAGTATGAGAGTGTAAATGAATTATTAATTTGTTGTCTCATTGTGATAATAAAATAGGTCGTTGCTAACAAAACGAATGGTCTTGTAAAATATTGCGTTTATTTATGATAATAGGGATACCTTTTCATCTCGCGTTTCCTGGTATTTAGCGTTATTATACGTATGATAGAGAGAAATATGGAAAATAATAGTGTGCTTACTCTGCACCATCCTTTAATCCGGTGTTACCCCAGTATAACTTCCAAAACTATTCTGAATAATAAATTTTAAAAAGAAAAAAGATGAAAATAATTATTAAAATCTAGTCCATTTAATCATTATAATATTATATTTTGTCATTTGACCAACATAATATTATGTACCTAATCATAATATTATGCAAGTACCTATTTATCTGTGTACGTCATAAACTATGGCCATATTATTATCATGGTTAGAAAACGATTGAGAACGGTACTTATCGGTGGTACCATTTTTAATAACACGAAAGAAGAACGTTTTAGCCTGCTAAATTTTATGCAATGTTGCCACATTAATTTAAAATACAAAATAGAAATAAAGTATACAATACCTATATATAATAGATATCAATTACTATATTGAGTTTTTGGTTACAGAATAAGCTTACGTGGAATTAAATTTCATCAATAAAAAATACACACACACACACACACACA